GGGGGGGGAGGAGGGAGCTTTTAATACCCCACCTATTTTGCTGTATACTTTCTCCTTTCATTTCTCCCAGATAGAAAGACCCAGAGTACCTCGAACACCCAGCTGTAATTCTCTTTTGATCCGCTTTTTTATACCCTCGTGTAACCAGCTCAGGTCCTCCGGTAGCGAGATTTGAGGGAGGAGGGGGGGGACTGTGCCGCGTTTTCCCTGGCAAAGGATTTGGGTTTAAAGTGCTGCTCAACTTCTGTGACAAAGGGGATCTCTCTGCGCCCCTTCAGCCTTCTCCTCGCGCAGGATGCCTCCGAGGGGAAGGCTTCTTTTAAGGAGCGGAGTATCACCGCCCCTCCCGCGGCCAGACCTCTGACCGGCCTTACCACTTCTAAATGCGCCCTGCTCCCTATCGCACCACGTCATTTCTTCACGGGAGATTTGTCCCTCCCCGTGGATAAACCCGTGAGATCCACAAAAGTACCGGATCCACAAAATTAATAGGGAGACGGGGAAGGAGCAGTCTGTGTAGCAGAGCGGTGTGAAAGCCCTTGTGTACGTGAATTTTTCACGTAGCCTTCGAAACGGGACCGGCGGCCCCACCTAAACTTCTGCCCTTCAGGCAAATAAAGATGTCCTGATGTACCTATCAGCAAGGCTTAGCGCCCGAGAAGATGCACGAGATCTCGGGTCTGGTTTCTGCTCTTTGCTTGGAAGATGAGGTGTTTTGAAGAACTTTCTCTTCAGGGTTAGAATGAACATGCTCACGTGGGCTCCTCCTGGACCCTGTTGGCCAGTCAGTAGTTGGCACGTCGGGGCACAGCCCGGGCAACCAACACTGCCAGATTAATTCCGAGACTGCTGGGGTTTTGTTTTGTGGTTTTGTTCCTTTGTTTGTTTGTTTGTTTTTCCTTTCATGATGAATGAGGGGTAAGAGACTGACCTTCCGCTCAGGCACATGCCGCATAAAGTTTTGATATTATTGCAAGGTGCCACAGCGGCTCCGGAGAGGTATCGAGTGGTGGAGGAGGGGGAGAACAGGACCACTTCGGTGTGCCAGGGCCCTGCAGCAGGTCCCCTCGAGTGGAGCGTGTGGGTGGATAGGGTAGGATCTCCTACCCCTCATCTCCAGGCCAAGAGGCATGCACGTGTGTACCATAAAGGGTTGAAAAACACCCTTAGAAGGGAAAGAACGTGAGCAGGACCAGGGACATGGAACACAAGGGTAAACTCTGCTTTTCGTAGGTTTATAAAAAAGCGCAAGATCCTCTAGCTAGCTGAAATTCCGTCTGTTGGTACAGTTGCAGCACAGAGAGGCAAGTTAGGGGGAAGAAGCACTTGAGACAATTTCTGCAATTGCAGACGCGGGACAGTAACCCTATTGACTGTGTTGAATGACACATTGTGAAGGTTATGTTGAAGTCCGTCTTTAAGACAGACATTTCTAACTTTTCTTTTTTTTTTTTTTTTTTTTTTTTTTTAGATCTAAAGATGGTACTCATCTTTCAGAACCTTTAACACAGATTGCATTTAACCTGCAAAAAATTATGAACGCCTTTCTAAGCAATGCTTTACACCAAAACAGAGCTAAATGCACGGACTGAGTGTCAGTTGATTCTTCATTTCCACCTAGCTAGAGAAAGGCTCTTATTACCTTTAAATTTTGGTGCACACACCACTCATCATTTTCTTCCTCTATTTAAAAGGTAACCCATATATCTGTCGTTTTAGGTTTCCAAAGACTCGTAACTTAATTCCTTCAGGCTATTCATCAGCACAGTAATTAAACTAGCAAATGGATGTAAATAAAGTGAAATTGGTTTCATGACAGATGAGCCGAAGAGGCCTCTGACATGAAACAAGCCAGGACAATAATTATTTCTGCACCGGGCTATATGAGGAACTCCATCTGGATTTATTAGGTGCTGCAAGTTATTTGCTAGGAGCAGGCAAGACAGGAGGACTCACTTTAATTTGACAGGATTTTTTTTTTCTTTTTGCATCCTAAGTAGGTTAAAGAAATATAAATCTGGAATTAACTTTGGCAATACTCTGAGAAGCGTCCACCCAATGTAAAAATGTAATGTGAAAATAAGTAGCAGAAGAAAGACTTATTAAACAATTTATTCCTAAATGCAAAATAGGAAGAAAACTATGCTAAAAACCTGCTCTCGATCTATCCCCTATTAAAAAATAATTGAGATCAGCGTGGTAGCTAGTGTATGATTCTTTTTTCTACAAATATGCATGCGGTAGAGTGAAGGCAACAGAAAGAAGGGAAATTTGGAGAGCTTGGGAATTCTGAAGAGCTTCTCTTAAAAAAATCCCCAAATTATAATCTCAGCTAAATGGTGCATGGCAAAATCCCCCCACTCCCTCTTCTCTGTCGAGGAAAAGTTTATACCTGCGGAGAAGAGGGGAGTAGAGAAAGGGGCTGCGAAAGGGAGAGTGTGGATTCCGCAAGGCTCAACTATAATTGGAGCCATCAGGTCCAGCTTGGAGTGGAAGTAATATACAGAATAAATAAAAAAAGGGCTCTCACAGCAGGTGCAGATTAGTCCCTTTTCCCCTGAAAAGATTAGAAACTGACTGCTTTATGCTTAAACGTACTCTCAATTATTTAAGCGCCCCTTCGTGATTAGCAAGTAAAAGTAACGCTCCAAAGCGCTGGAGAAATGAAGCAGGAATAACATCGCTTTCCCAGAGCTCACGCAGGCTTTGCAGCACACGCCCCACTCCCTGCCAGCTAACGGGGAGCTCAGACGGGGGAACTCCCCTAGACACATACACCTGTAGGGTGGGGAGGGGGGAAAGGAGAGAGGGAGGGGAGAAGGAGGGAAGGGGCAGGTTCAGCCTGAAAAAAATGCCGCTGTCGAGGCGGTGCAGGCTGCAGCCCAACCTTGTTTCACAAGCGATTGGGATCCGTGGACAGATTTTCCCAGGAATGCTGGACCCTCAGCATCTCTTCCAGTGTGTGTGTGTGTGTGTGTGTGTGTGTGTGTGGTGGTGGTGGTGGTGGTGGAAGGGTGGTGGGAATAAAAATCTCGCAACAAAAATCCCAAATTAAAAAAACCCAAACCACCCTCTTGGAATGGGCTGGGAATGAACCGAGGACGCCTGTGTTTGCATACGGCAGTTTGATCAGGGTTCATGTCTTTCTGCAATCAAATCAGAGGCGTTTTCCACCCTTCCTCACGGAGGGGACTGTGATAACTGCAAAGCCGGGGAGAGAACCTAAAGGGACTGAAATCCCCTTATGTCTGATGCTTTCCCTTTTAACACACACCCCAGACTAATTATTTAAAAGTTCTTGTAAAATTAGAAGACATAGCCCAGTCCTTTAATTAGAATACACTGTGAATAGGGATAGCATATGGAGGGGAATGTCAAGAAGAGGGTGCCAGGGGCAGATCCTAGGAAATCTGTATTCATTTCTGCCTCCTATTTGTTCAGTAATCTCTACCATCATAACTAAATCTTGGAGCACTGATGTAGTTCGAGTTGTTGTTGACTCAACGTCAAAATTCAATCACTGGGGGTTTTGCATCAGCCGGGCTACTTATTTGTCTAATAAATCCGTCATTTTGTAAGAAAAATATTTGAGCAGCCGTACTTGACCTCTTGGTATCCACAAGCCACATTTATTTCCACCAGTTTACAAATGCAAAATGGAGATGATCATCTTAATGCCTCGAGGTACCGTGTTGATTTCTGATTGGATTTTAGATGGAAATGTCTATTTTAAATACCCCGTGATTAAATTGTACATATAATAGAATTCATGCCTCTCAAATCAAATCCTGATTTGCAAACCCCCATTTTATTTTAAAAGAAATATTATTCAAGCATAAATTGTTTTATTAAATGATTTGCTACCCCCCCGCTGTAAGATTTTATCATAGCCGGGCATCCTTCTCACTGGAAAACTTATTTTGACCCTGGACCATTCGTGTCTGACTGAGAGGTGTCAGGGGCGGCTGGGATGGAAGTACACCCGTTCGGGAGCCGTGACATCCAGCGATGGGGGATTTACTGCCTTTGTTTTTATGCTTAATTCATCGAAAAGGGAGCCGCGCTGCACCAGTTTAATTGGAGGGGGGGGTGTATAACTTTCACGAGAGCTTTTTGGTTGGGGCGGGGGGCGGGTACGGGAAGGAGTAAGGCCATGCCAGGAGAGGAGAGATGTGGCAGCCCTCCGCCGGGCGGGAGGCCGGCTCCAGCCGCCACCACGCACCCCGGGGGGGCCG